TACGAGGTTCTGAAATGAGACTGAGCAGGGGCTCTGGAGAAATTACGGGACCTGCCAACTTGATCTCTGAAGGCAGCTTACAGGGGGACATGTGAGAACAATAATGTTGCTTTAAGATTACAGTAGTCAGTCACTCTAGTTCAGTGCAGCAGTCTTTGCTAATCCATCCCAAATCGTGATACCCTAAATTGCCAGGAAGTCCAGAGTTGAGGCAAATTGCTCAGGGTCACATGTTGGCAATTCCAGAATTAAGATTCACAGCAAGATGTAGGCCAACAAGGCATTTCAACTGCCACCAAACTTTTGGTGTGCTGCTTTGCGGTCCCTGTTTCTGAGCTGGTGGCCTTTATCTTTAGTCAAAGACAAGTCACTATGGTTAAGATGTGCACACGAGCAGAATGGAGGAGCAGGCTTGTTCATTCAAGCTAGGGAAGGCAGGAGCAGGTGGGAGGCAGTAATTGGCTCCTCCAGCAATAGAGGCTTATCAACAGCGGAGAGGATGAGGGTGCATGTCGGAGTGGCATGCCAGCAGTCCCTGGTGTCCCCTTACAGCTGTTCTTTGCTGCAGAGCCTATAGCCCAGGTGTTCATAAGACCCCTGGAGACCCTCTCTATTCTCCTTAGGCAAGCCTGATTTAAATGAACTCTGTGAGAGGAGGAGCCTCCGGTACAAGTTGTTTTTCCAGCAGAAGGGTCTTTCCTGTGGCGAACCCTCTCAAGGACCCTCTCCAAGGAAGTGGGAAGAAAGCCCTGTGCTTACAAACAAAGGCTCTTTTAATCTGTCCTTTTTGTGAAAGTTGGGAATTCTTTTTGACCATTAGTACAATGAGAGTGAGACTCAACAAGTCACTCAGAAAAAGTGACTTTTAAAAGTGATTTATGTGGACTTGAGTACCTGTATATATGTCCGTGTATCACATACGTGCTCTTAGAGACCAGAAAAGGACACTTGCCTCCCCGAACTGGAGTTTCATGTAGTTGTGAGCCTCCTGACCTGGGGTCCTCTGCCAAGAACAGCAAGTGTTCTTAACTGCTGAGCAATCTCTCTAGCCCCCAAAAAGTGACTCAAAAATTCTACTTAAGCCAGGTAGTGGTGGCACATGCCTTTAGTCCCAGCTCTCAGGAGGCAGAGGCAGGAGGATCTCTGGGTTGAGTTCAAGGCCAGCCTGGTCTAAAAAAAAAAAAACTTAAAAGTAAATAAAAGCATTTCCGTTACAGTCATTTAGTATGTAAATTGGATTGCTATACATAAAGTATGGCTTTAAAATAGAAAAAATACAACCCTGTCCTTTATAAAGATAACTGGGAAAGATTCCGTTTTGCTGAAGTCTGGAGCAAACGCACATCAACACTATGTGTACATTACTGGTAGTCATGGTGCTCGGTTAATGTGGTACTTGAAAATTGGGACCAGAGCCTTTAGAATATGCTGTGTTGTGTGTGCCTACCACAGGAGGTCAGTTACCATCATGACAATGTTTGAATGGATTCAGTGCAGCTGTGCATGGAAACTGCTACAAGGCTTTGCACATACACATAAATGATGGGAAAAGGAATACTTCTCAAATACTCAGTAAAACACAGAGAAAACTCACGAGTTTCCAAGTACACCTCTACATATGTATTACCATAACATCCCCCAAGGTATCCATCCCATTTGCAGGCTGAGGACAACTTTTTTAGGTATCACCACCTGCGGCCTGTGAGTGGCAGAGTCTGAACTGTAAGGCACCCCGTTTAACCTGACGCCACGCTCTGCACCGCTGCAGCCAATGCCTGTGCTCGCGTGGCACTCTACCACCTCCCGTCTGTCTGTGTCAGTTTCTATGCTCGCTGCTCCCACCTGGGGCCTCATCCTGCTCTGCCAAGTGCTGTCACCAAGCTGTATCAATTATAAAATGGAGGCAGTGAATGTGACTGGTGGGCTCCACTGTCTTTACCCTTACAGAAACACCAGAGTCCTTCTATTATCCTCCCGGTGTCTACCACCTGGAGGGCTCAGCAAGTGCTACACACAAAATAAATGTCAACAAAGGCATGTGTTGAGTTTAAAGAAACATCTCTAGAGATGCTGTGATTATGTTGGAAAATTGGTATACAAGTTTAAGTCTGTTATCTTCTACCACGTCCTTGAGAAATGAGAGAAAGCTACTGACAAACTATTGGGCCAGCTAGACAGCACAGCACGCTAAGGTGTTAGTTGCCAAGCCTGATGACTTAAATTCAATGTCTGGAACCCACATAATGAAAGGAGAGAAATGACTCTTCAAAGTTGTCCTTTGACTGCCACATGTGTACCTGTGGGTGCACATACACATGTGCACACACACGGAAATCACATAATTTAAAACATTCAGAAAATGAAATCAGAATCTATATGCAAGTTGTGTCCAATGAAAAAATAGTTCAAAACCATTTCAGACCCCAAAGGAAACTAAGGTATGAACACCAATACTGGAAAGAGATGTCCCCTTTGGAACTATTCCGTTAATCACAGCAAACGGAAGTGTCACAGGCAGCAACCTGCCACTGTGACCACTGCCTACATCCCTACATCCCGGCTTTGAGAAGGGAGCAGCAGGGCACAGCCACCTGGATGACCCAGTTCACCTTTGGAACCAATCTGTATCCTTTCCACATCAATGTCAAGTATGACCTCTGTGAAGAGTCTGCCTTGCTCATTCTTCCAACACACATCAGTGAGCACCATCTCCATGCCCGAAGCCAGAGGCTGAGGACTCTGGAATAAACAAGGCAGTCTTGCCTGTGTTGGAACTTAAGAATACAACTAGTATCCAGTTGTAACTGTGCCAAGAAGGAGAAACACAGAATCAAGAGAGCATGCATCAGTGTGGAAATGTCAAGCAGAGAGCATCAGGGTGAGGACTCAGCAGAGCGAGGAAATGGAGTACAGACCTAGTGGTGCAATGTTTGTTCAGCATGGCCTTGGGATAGGAGGAACCACTGGTACCCGAAGCAGGAAGTGAGAGTGGCAGAGTAGAGCGGCCATGTAACACGACAGTTAGCTGTAAACCCACTGGGGAGATCATCGACTGTGAAGTCCTAGGCTGGCGAGTCAAGCACACCAGCTAATCACGTGGGCTCATCTTCAGGAACTTCTCTCCTGTAGTTCATAGACCTACACAGGGAGGACTTAGTGTCCACTCGCAAGTTCCCATGCTGTACTAATAATCTGATCACAGTAGGAAAAACCAGCCTGGTGGGTCAGTTGAATCAGGCACACAGAAGTTGAACATGACATTGTATCAGACTCTCAACTTGAGAATTAGGCAGTCATAAAATGTCAGAGGTACCTGCAGTCACTGCTGTCCTCCCGGTGCAACCTCTGAATGGTAAAACCAGAAGAGCAGGTATCAACAAACCCCAAACATTCTACCTCCAAACTTCAAGCCTATCTCTGCCTTGCCCCCTTTGCAGTCAGTCAAAATAAATTTACTCTCCCTGGAAAGCAATGTTTCCACAAACATTACCTGCACTGGGTAGATATTCAATGACCTACTCTAGGTGACTACTTTTGGTTGGATTCTCAAAAGTTTTATGTAATGAAACTTTCACCACGGTTTGTAGCAGGCACATGCGCACCAAGGTTGTTTACTCCAACTGACAACGGGTGTCAGCGCCATCTTGTAACGGAGAATGTGGGGGCGGCTCCCCACATCTCCCCCTTTTGTTTTAATAGCAAACAGGCTCTCCCAGGACATTAGAGGGTAGAGACAGTGGTTGAACTTCCCAAAGAACAAAATTAGTGAGACGTGTACGAAACCTATCCCTAGATTCATCAAAATCCAGGATGCTTCCGACCTGTCCTCTGCCTTTTTCTGGGAAAAGGGAAAAAATACAGCAGGTAATCCTTATGCAGGACAACATGTCTCTCAGAGGAAAATATCTCTCTGTGCGATGCCTTTGCTCAACACCCCTCTTGGGAGGCCAGACTAAACACTCTACCCTGTGCAATGAACCTAAGTTCCGGGTGTGCAGGAGCTGTTCAGTAGGCAGCCTATTGCTTAAGCATAGTCAACCAGATATCGGTTGACGCCCCTTGCTCGAGCGCAGTCAGTGCTTGTGCTGTGACCACCTTATCTCTTTTGTTTTGGGTTCTGAGCTTGCAGACCAGCCAGAGAATAAACACTATTCCGCAGCATAGGACTGCTCCAAACAATCCCACCCCCACCCATTCTTTGAAATATTAAACAGCTGAAGAAATCCATGAAGACAATCCCTCCGTGAAGGACAGGTCAAGGCGGGTAGAATTAATCTGAACAATGGCGACCCTCAATTAGCGAAGCATCTGCTCAAATTGATAGGTCCAATTCATTGCAATTAGTGCCATCAATGTCAAGTTGTTCCTCTTTGTCACAGGAATGTCTCGCCATCCTTTTGCTCCATAACGGTTCTGGTGAGTCGTTCTGGGACCCAAAAGGGATTTTCTTCATTCTCCCCTGGATCTTATTAGAATAGGATCCGGGCCTTTCCATTCATTAGTTAGCACATCTTTCCATTTTACACATTCTTTGGGTCTTTGCGGATCCGAGCAATGCCTTATTGCTGCATTTTGACCCTTATCATCCAGATTTTAAAAATTCATTGCCTTTTATTATTTTGTCCAGTTCCTGAAAAGGGTATAAGCCTTCTCCCCTTTTTTGTTTATCTTCTAATGTCCCTCTTGGGGACTGTAAGGGCTCCCCCTTATCCTTAGATTTACCGGGGGGGGGGGGTTATCTTTCTTAGTTACAACCGGTTTCTTTTTACGTGCACCTAACCTCTCACTACGCTCGGTTTCTGACATGCTAGACAGATTGAGAGGAGCCATGATAAAAATAAACACCTGCCGCTCGAATGAAACAAAAGTAACGACCGCGAGCAGCTCTTTTATCTACAAGAGACTAAAGCACACAGTCAGGCACTGCCGCTTATCCTAACAATTGTAACGATGTAACAATTTTAACACAGGCTCCAATCCAAAGTCCCAGAATAACATACCTCTCTGAGCGTAGTTACCTGCAGTTCTGAATCCTCCTTGAATCCAAGGGGTCTCCGATGGTGCTGACGATGATGAGGTCTGAGTTCCCGGGTTTCGGCACCAGATGTCCCGCGCTACCGTCTCGCCAGCAAGAACGACGCGGCACACTTAGGATCCTTCTGCAGAACAGCTTTAATGCGTCTTGAGAGGGAGAGCATAAGCTTACAGAGTGGAGACCCGGGGAGCGAAAAGCCCAACCCTTATATAGCTCAGCAGTCCCCGCCTCTGACGTGTCATCTCCTGACTGGCTCCTGCTCGTCAGCCCATATGGGAGAGGCAGAGAGTAAGGGATGGAAAAGTTGCAGGCACATGCGCACCAAGGTTGTTTACTCCAACTGACAACGGGTGTCAGCGCCATCTTGTAACCGAGAATGTGGGGGCGGCTCCCCACAACGGTTTACTTTAGGGCTGAGGACAAGAGGTAAACACCAAGTTAAATGTTTGATGGTGCAGGGCTGCTGACAAGATGATGACTTCGGGGCCCTCAGTTTTCTTTGAGCATCCTTGTAAATTTAACCAGAGTAGTAACCAGTAGTTGAAGGTTTTAAATGCCAGGGCTCAACTGAGGTCTTTTCTTTCTCCTGCACTATTTTCTCAGAAAATAGTTTAGAAACTAGAGTACAGATTCAGCTGGGGTTATCTTATGCCTAATCTAAACTGGGTATCTGCTAAAGATGGAGTCTATAAGTTCAACTTTCAACATTTGGGACTTAAAATTTAGAGCTACACCCAAGCCAGATGAACAACATTACACATCATCCCGTGTCACTGCAGAAACCTTGTGAAAATGCAGATCCTTAGCGCCTACCAAGAAACTCTAGTATGGGTAATACAAACCACTTAAGAAGCACACTTCTGAGAAACATTGCTAGTAGCAAGTTAACAGCGACAACCTTTGATTAAAAGACCAACATGTCACTAGAGTAGGCCCACTGGTCATTACCTATAGCCTTTATATGTCCCTCAGGAGACTCTACCGTGGTAATGTGAGGCCCCAATTTAGCCACAACTAAGCTTATTTATTTATTTTTTTTTTTTTGGTTTTTACGAGACAGGGTTTCTCTGTATTGTTTTGGAGGCTGTCGGTCCAGCCCAGCCTCGAACTCACAGAGATCCGCCTGCCTCTGCCTCCCGAGTGCTGGGATTAAAGGCGTGCGCCACTACCGCACGGCCGCTTCTTTTCTTTTTAAACTCAGAAGTTGGAGATAAACTTCCATTTGATAGTGAACATATCAATACCAAGGTAAACGAGCACCAGGTATCTCAATGGAATTCTCTAGAAGGACCATGCTACCCTTAAATGAAATTTGTGCAATGATGTCTGAATTGCAGACTGAAATGGATCTTGTCTCAGTGGTTAGAAGCCTTCTGTATTTCTAATGCATTAGCCAATCTTTCCAGTTAATGTTTCAGAAAAACTCCAGAGAGGACAGTTAATCAACACGTTCTGTTACATGACCTCAACACTAATATTTTTTTAGTTTATAGTGACACACGACAAAGTTATTCACTTTTGTTTGGATGCTGGAGACAAACATCTTTATTAAAGATACTACCAAAATTTTGGCAAACATTTTAAAACAGATTTGTAAACATAATGCTTCCCTTTTCAACCGGCAGCACTTTGAAAAGACGATACAAGACAACACAACCTGAATCAACATTAGTTCAAAATCCTTATATTTTGACCACATAACTTATGTTCCCACATGATAAGACAAGAGATAGTTTAAATCAACATTAACAGATAAACTCCATGAAATGAAAGTTTGTGCTGTTCAATGAATCACAGTATGTTATGGTTAAATATATCTACTTTTTTTTTTTATATTCCTGGTATCCAGGATGTAAAAGAAATCTTTAAATATACATCTGATGTAGGTAATAGCTTCTTTGCATATCTCTCTTCAAAAAATACTTTATAGCAGTATATAAATAGGTTACCTACACATTTAATTTTATCATTTGCCCCAAAACTATATATCTATTTCATTTTTATAACATATCAATTTTTTTGCCCAACATTAATAAAGCTGACAAACTGTTGAAATGGAAATGCTTTTTTCTTCCACAGTAGAAGTAGCAATTTGACAGAAACAAGTAAACAAACATCATCAATAACCTGCTGTAACACTCATCAGTTGTTTAACCTGAGCGTCCGGCCTACTGAGTAGCAGCTTTTCACCTTCCTGCAGCTCACACCCACATCAGTTCTGCAGACACACAAGCTGAACACACACACACACACACACATACACATACACACACACGTTCTGACGCTGGTAGGCCACAGTGTGCTTCCCGTGGCTGTCGGCACAGGGGAGCAGTGCAGCTACTAATTAACCACACAATGTACACAACAAGCAAACACCTTAAGGCAGCCATTGCAATGGGGGGTTTAACTTGCAGGGCAGGTTTAACACTCTAGAGCCAGTCAGCCCTTTGTGTGTGTGTGTGTGTGTGTGTGTGTGTGTGTGTGTGTGTGTGTGTGTGTATGTGCATAGAAAACTACACACATAGTCAAACAACTTTCTATTTTTCAACCCTCCAAAACAATGTTTTGATTTTTTTTGGAATTTTGTGCAAATGTCTATCTATATATTCTACCATTTAAGGCAAAGAGTTTGCATTAAGAAAGGTCAGAAAATAGGCTTATGAAAAGCATTTCACTTTGCACATTACTGTTTTGTTTTTAAACACAAGCAACTCTTTTAAGTGTGGACATTGCATCCCTGATACCTAAATTAAAAAAAAATCATCTCTAATGACAAACACAAGTTTTCAAGGAAAAATTGATTTGAAGTATAGACACTGGATCCCCAATATCTAAAAAACTGCTTCTATTAACAAACAACTTTGGGGGTGGGGGAGGACCAGAAAAAGAAAGCAGCTTTAAAATTCAGGGAAGCAAAATAGAATGAGGAGGAAAAAAAAAGTAACTCAAGTTTACTAATACTGAAACTTCCAACAAGCAAAGTTTCATCTTTTAGAATCTAAAGCAACTCATCTGGAATTTTAAATAAATAAGTTTAAGTTTTATTCACATCTTCTGGTCCAAGCAGAGTTCTAGTGCCATGACTCTGCTTGCTGTTGGTCAAATTCACCTATTAGTCTTTTGATGTGAGCCAGCTTGTTATGAAGATACTCGCATCTGTACTTTTCTTCATGGTAATTGGGACTGGACTGCAGACAAAGAAAACAGTGAGGAGTTAGGTCACAAAACCCACAGTGCTTCTCACTGCAGGCTAGACAGCACGGTGCTGCTGATACCCACCTGCTTGATCTTCTGATATTCTTGTAAGACTTCTTCATGAACATTCTGCAAAATTAAAAATTAGAAGTGAGGAGAGAAAGCCCTGGGGGAGAGGGGGTAGTACAGTACCTAACAGGCATCTGGCAAGGTGCAGGAAATTTTGATGAGATGTAACTTGGGGCATTTTTATGGAAGGCAATTTGGCAGCAGCTATCAAAAGAGCAAATGCAAAACTGACTCAGCAATTCTACGAGTTCTGCAGGTCTACCTGCCTGAGCTTATTATGATGCACACAGCTACAAGGCTAGCAGCTCTGTCCAGCAAAAGACAATTCACACTATGGGAATGCCCTTAGGGCTATACAAGGGATACCAAGAGGATAGTACAAACACACAAACAAAACACATGTGCTTTCTGGGGTAATGTAAAGTTGTCTATGAAGCACTGTACTAGTGAAAAAAATCAGCATACAAAATAGCATGGGTAGTATAGACACAGTGCTATACTTAATTATTCAATAACTTTTAAGATTTCTTCTAAATTTAATGAGACCAGGAATCACAATAATGGTTTAAGTTACTAGAATGTAACACACTGGTGTCTCTTACAATTGCAGAAAACTCACCCTACTTAGTTGTGTTTTGTATGTTTTACAATACATTATATATGATAGTGGAGTACCCCCACAGCTCCCCTCACTTATTTAAGAACTATTTCAAGTACATTTGTTTCATAAAGCTGTAGGGACACAGGTCTGCTGGACAGCTTGCTCTAAGTCTAGTGGAATGGCTAGTAGGGGAGTGAAGAAATGAAAATCAGCCCATCTAAAACCATGCCCATCTACCTGGTACTCTTTTGAGCCTGGAGAAAGGCGCTTTCGTTGTGCATCCAGCTTACTAAATCTCCTGGCTACAGTTTCCATCCTGGCATGCAAAGCTCTGTACTCATCATACTCAGCGTTGAAGTCATCCTTGTAATTCTGGCGTTGCTCATAGGAGACAATAGCAATATATTTTCTAATAATAAGAGAGAAAAACGGAATAAATGGAGAGAAAGAATAAGCATGGTGGCATGGGTCTCAGATGCCACCCTCTTGCATTTGTCTCCAGTAACTGAATGTCACTCTGTCTCTGGTTTCTTGCCAGGTCGCTCAGATAGCAGGCCTCAAGAGTGTTCACGGAGAATGAAAGTGGAAAAAACTCTCAGTGACGATGGAATTCAAAGAGAACCACATAAAATGAAAAGCATTCTTCCAGACTTGCTTCTAGAGCCTTTCCCCAAACAATGGAGCGGAGGAGACCAAGCCATCTGCTAGCAGTCATCTCAAGACAGACGCACTTGATGGGTAACAGGGCAACAGAAGGATGCCACACAGCCACTGAGCACTCAAGTCAAAGCTGCCATAGGACCCCTGCTTTGTGAGAGGAGGTGTCTTTTAGACTTGCGACAAGCAGACACGTCAACAAGGGCTTTGTTTGCTCTCTCCATTCTTTTTTTTTTTTTTTTGAGACAAGGTTTTTCTGTATTGCTTTGGAGGTTGTCCTGAAACTAGCTCTTATAGACAGGCTGGCCTCGAACTCACAGAGATCCACCTGCCTCTGCCTCCCGAGTGCTGGGATTAAAGGTGTGCACCCTTTTCTGACATTCCTAACTACCCAAATTAAAAAGATTTTTTTTGGACAGTGAGTGAGGCTCACTACCAAGGAAAGTCTCTCTAGTTTTTATCTCTCTCCCCACTTTTGGATAAAGAAAGGTTTATTTAACATGTGTACACGTGGGTGCCTGCATGTATGTATGTATGCGTACCACATGTGTGCCTGATACCCATGGAACTAGAATAGGGCATGAATCCTCTGCAACTGGACTCACAGACAGCTAAGCCACTTACTGTGGATGCTGAGAACCGACCCATAGTCTTCTTAAAGAGTAGCAATGCTCTTAACCACTGAGCCATCTCTCTAGACCTCCATTTTAGGTTTTTTGGAGACAGACTCATATTACTCAGGCTGGCCTCTATTTACCATGTAGCTGAGGCTGGCCTTGAAATTCCAATCTTCCTCCATCTACCTTCTGAATGCTAAGATTATAGGTGTGTATTGCCACACGCAGAGGACTGATTCCTCTAGCACTTCCCAACACAAAGTTACACTTACACAACAGAAGGCCACCGTTGCACTGCTTAGTCTAACTCACTGTCTTAACAGAATGCCACAAATCTGTGACTAGTCTCTAGAACCTTCTAAGTGAAGGCCACTTTCACAACATGCCAGGTGACTCTGCAGTAAATCAGCTGGAAGATCATTTCAACAGTATCATTAGCTCACAGTCTGCCTTCTTCTCTTGCCCTCTGTTCTCGGTCATGGAAGGTCCAATTTCCTTGATTATTTGGGTAAAAGCTGAGATTAGGCAACTGGTGGGCGCTGCAGGATGCACCCTGAGGTGTACACTTGGGCCTTATGGTGGTAATGTCTTGAAACTGGGCCTCTCCAGATGGTTTTCTATAATCCTACTGGTTTTATTTAAGTTGCTGCATCACAGATGCCTTCCTGGGAAAGTGAGAAAAGTGATGCAGTGTGCAAACTCAGTGTCCTCATTAATGTTTTTATTTCTGCTGAGTTAAGACAGTGTGGAGGTTGGGTCTTCTGAGTATAACTGAGACAGGAGTAGTGTGCTGATTTAAGCTGCCCTGGTGGCCTCAGCTGCAAAAGGAACACTGCCAGCCACATGGGAGCCGCCCTCGCCAGACCTGCTACTTTACAGCACGCTGGAGGAAGCCCTGATGGTTCATGAGGTTCCTGGGAATAAGCATATATAAATAAAGAATAAGCTGAAACTCAGGTTTAAGTCATTGTGTAGCGCATTTATTTTACTTTCTAAAAATTTAACCTTTAGTATTTTATTTAATAACTTTGTTAAGGAAAAATACCAACTAGGTCGATAATTGTGTTATTGTTTGATACTGGCATTTTAACAACTGATATTTTAAATTCCTATGACTTTGCTGTTGGAGGTTTCTTAATGAATCTCCTTTTAGTTTTCTTATGAGGAAAACTTAATGTCTGTGTTTTGGAAATGTTCTTGTTACTTTTAGAAAATAGTTGTATTTGTTGATTAAAACTTCATTTTTAGCTTGGGCAAAAATATATTGCTTTTATTAAAGCAAATTAAACATAAAACCCTTAGAAATGTGACAAATGCACACGGATTCTTAAATATTGTCAGCCAGTTAGGTTGGCAAAAAGGTGAAAGCTTTAAATCTGTGGCAGAAGTTTTAGGATATACTATTTTATATATATCACTATCAATAAAAGGACTTCAAATCTGTCACAGGAGAATGGTGTGCTACTCCAGGGCTCAACTTTCCCAAGTCTAAGGAGCAGCAGGTGGGGTGAAGGGGTAAAAGCCCTCTGCATGAGTCTGTGGGGCTGTCTTGAATGGCTGGCTGCTTCCTGTGGAGGTTGCTACACTAGCTATCTCAGATGGCAGAGTACGTAGGGAGGCTCCTGCTAGCTGAGCGGTGATAGTTAGCATCATGCTTTCTCATTCTCCAGCACCTGTAGCTTTCACACTGGTGTTAAGCAGAAGTGACAGCTCTGTAAATCTGAACTGTTCTCTCTTCTGCAAGAAGCAAGGTTAAAAGCACTCTGCCCACTATGAGATGGCACTAACAGAAAAAAGTGTGCAGACAGCTCAGATTCTAGCTTCTGTTCCGTGTTATACCTATTTGGCAAATCTGTTTCATTTTGAAAGCTGTCTGCCATCAGAGCTTTTTGCTCTTCCATAACGTACTTTTCCAGGCACCCGCAACTCAATTATTGTCTTCTTACAGAAGCCTTTTATTGTATGGAAAAAGCTAGAATTATATGTTCAAGTTATAATTTTTGTGATAAGCACATTACAAAAACATTCCCAGCTCAGCATTTACTAACTTGTTGTCACAAGAAAAACATATACCTGGTACTAAAGTGAAATGATCTAACTTTACTATTTTTTCCTCTTAAAATTAATTTGAGAAAAAGACCTTTGTTTACATAAAATGAAGCCATGCCTGCTCTGTAATGTTCAGTGCAGAGTTCAAGCAATCTGCAGCCCCCTGGGCCCCTCTAGGGCTGCAGATAGATGGGCTGCCGGCTTTAGCGGCTATTGTGCTCAGCCTGACCCTGGAACCATACACGTTTCTCTGTCTTAAGACCATGGAGCACTGCTCTGTGCACAACCTGCTCCTGACGACAGCGGCGGATTAGGGCTGGCAGGCTTAATGGCAGCCTTTCAAATGCAGAGGTGGCTTCAGGACTCTATTTCTGGAATTTCTTACTGTTTTGATTTGCAAATTATGGGAAAAGAATTTGCAAACTTTCTAAAATTAAACAGCTCTCTCCATTGGCAGACAGAAAACTTACACCAAATAATCTGGGAGTTCAATTGTTGAAGAAGGCTCCATGGAGGCAGTGCAACCTTCTTTAACTCCTATGAAGGGGAAAAAAAAAACAGAGTGTCATCAATGAGTATGGTTATCAAATGCCTCTCCTTTAAAAGAGAAACATCTGGAACCTTTTCCTCAAATTCTTTTCTTCCACCTTAAAAGCATCGGCAAGCGAGGACTACAATGGGACACAAACTGTGGAGGCTGTGCCCTGTGCCAGCAGAGCTGATGCCAGGCATTTAATGCACCCTGCCTACTGCAATGTCCCCACAGTAAAGGAATTCCATCTTAGCCTAAGGTCAGGCTTCCATTCTCCCACCAGCAGGGTGGCATCTGCCTAGCAATTCAAAGACTGTGGTGGCAGATGTAGTCAGACAACAGGCGATACTGATTTTACATTAACATCTACTTTTCATGAGATCCAAACAAGCAGAAGAAATAACAAAGCTAGCTAGCAGCCTGCTTGGGTCACTGTATTTTTAATGTCATCCTTTCTGTAGCCAGACAGTGGACTGGATAGGAAGTTTTCCACAAGTTCACAACAAGGCATTAGTAGGTGTGGATTCATCCCTTCTTACCTTTGACTCTCATAGGATTAGACAGATTTTAGGGAAAACAGCAAAAACTGTTGTAGTTACTCAATGGCTATGTTGTTAAAAGTGAGTAAATTCCCAGTATTACATTGTTTAACACACAACTTCCAGGGGCCATGTTTAAACATTTTATAAAGTTTTTTTTTTTAAATCAAAGCACACTTAGTAACTCAAACTCTAATTTGCTGGCAAAACATATGTTCACTATAAAACAAATGTGAATATCTGACAATTTCTCAGTCTTCTGGAAGATAAAATACACCAAATAAATTACATAGACTCAGTGGGCTTATTATATAAATTTGACTCAGGCATGGCCATGAGAGACTGTTCTAATGGATACAAAGGATGTGGGTCTGGATCTGTCCTCCACTTGTGGAAAGTTTTCCTACCTACTGCAAAAGAAGGATTTACAGACACTGTTTATACAGGTATCTAGCCCTGAGAACACACAAGTTCCTGTGGTAGTCTCATCACACAGGGATCCCCTGGTCTCCATTGACTCTGAATCACCCTCCAAGGGTGGGAGTGTGGAAAGGAGAGGGTGTGCAGGAAATCTGGCTTATTAAATCTAAACACGAAATTTTACTTTATGGTTTGTCCTGACTTGACAAATTCAAGTACAAAGAGTAGTGTAGGTGGGGGAGAACTTACACTTGGGCCATTATCTACTACGACCATGCTCATCTACACACTTCAAGAGATGTGTTTTGCCATGCAATCCACCCAATCCGTGTCAACTGTATACTCCTGCAACTCTCCTCTGCAAATTTCACCAGGAGAAAATAATGAACGCTTCTTCCATTTGGCAGAAATGGTCAGTTAACCCTCAGGATTTTAGACCTTCAGAGTTATGAGCAAGACAAGGAGTAACAAGAGGTGTCAGTTTACTAACAAAAATACCCTTATCTCTATCAAGCTAATAATAGCCAGGCAGCTTGTGAAGCAAATTACTTTCATTGTAAATAACAATGATGTAGCTTGCCTATTTTACAAAGAATGTGACAGTCTTTCTATGATAATTATTAACAACCACAGGAGTATCTCTGGCTTCTCAAAAAGGAGGAAATGGGTATCTCTATTGCCCATTTCTGTTTAAATCAGGTCAAGAATGGCATGCACCTGTTACACTAAAGTTGCAAAATATGACAGAAGGAAAAATTGCCAAAGGGGACTCTTTGGAGAATGATAAAGTCATTCTTAAATGCCGTTTAAATCTACATAAAGAAATCATGTTTAACACTTGGTAAAGAGACATTGAAGTGACAGCTACAAGGTGGCAGAAAACAATGTCTACAATGCACATTATAAAGATTAATTCAACAGACGGTCATTTGCTTAAACAGCATTATTCTAAAGAGCTTCGTCTACAACTCATGCTCTTCCAGCCTATGAACCACAGAGAGCATTTTGGTTTTTTTCTTTTAAATAAATGTAAAATACCTTCACTGGGATTGGGACTGGAGTCCCTCAGCTTGGCAGCTTCTTCTCTCTGAAGGTCTTCCTCCTTTTCCTCCACTGTCTCAATGTCGTGCTTTTTTATTTGGTCCTTTTCCTTGTGTTTTTTAGACTTCTTTTTGGACTTCTTGTGAGACACTGGGTGGCTTTCTTCCATAGGCTTTGGACACGTTAGCAGAACTGAGCCAGGGGGTAATGTTTCCAGACAAGTCCTAGAGGTATATTTGTCTTGCTGGTCCTCAAAGATGCTACCATTTTGACTAAAACTGTCAACAGGTAGGTCTTGAGTCCCCCGGCCTTCTGGAGTGCTAGGGGAGTTGGAGTTGGAGTTTACAGTCTGAGGAGGATTGGAGACAGGGAGGTGGGTTGAAGGCAGCGGCGAGGGTGTGGGGATGGCTGCAGCTGCAGGGGGCGGTAGGAGGCCTGTAGGAGATTTCTCACTGGTGGGATTCACATGGCCATTTAGTGTTGGTGGGACTCTGTTTGTCAGGTGAGATATTCGAGCTTTTTTGTTCATTAGAGGATCAATGAAATCTGAATCCAAAGGTCGTTTCTGGGGTGGGGGGAGAAAAGCGTGAGATTTGACAGTTGAGCAGCCTAACTTATCAGACTATATTCTAACCTTACTCAAAAAATGAAGACCCCCACACCCTTTAAGAACTCCTAACCAAATGTAAATTCCAATTTTAGTTCTTCCGTCAAAAACACAATAGGGGAACAGTGCCAAATAGTGAGTTCAGATCTTGCAGGCTACCCTAAATCCCAGAGACGGTTCTGATTTACGTGCCTTAGAATACCGTACAGCACTAAGTAGAAGCAACCATCATGCTAGCTGCAGCTGGCCTAGTTCTAGCAAGTGAGAAGACAAAGCAGTTTGCACCATCTGACTCTGTGATTGGCTCAAGTGTTTCAGCTGTAAATATGTTGGCTGTCACTTATCAGATGGCTGTCCCCATCACACTGTCAACTAGCTCATCTTTACATTCATTTCTCTAAGTACAGCTATCATTGTTGAAATGCCATTTTGTTTTTTCACTGTACATATATGTTCACAATGTTGTAAACTAAATCTATGAAGACTGGCTCATTAAAATGAGGCAGATACACTTTAAAAATCTTGTTATGATAGCTCAATCCAGTATTCACAATGACAGTATATAAGTTACAAGGGAAAATGAACAAGTAAAAAATATAAAATTACAAGTCAGTTAAATATTTAGCATTTGGGGACTGGAGAGATGGCTCAGCAGTTAAGAGCACTGGCTGTTCTTCTAGAGGACCCAGGTTCAATTCCCAGAGGCTACATGGCAGCTCACAACTGCCTGTAATTCTAGTTCCTGGAGATCTGACACCCTCACACAGACACACATGCAGGCAAAACACCAACGCACATGAAATAAATAAATAAATCTTTTTAAAATTTTGTATTTGGATTTAAATTAATCAACCCATTAATTTTGTTTAGCATCCAGCATGTAATTTGGCCAGAGTAGATTCAGATCACAGCGGTTGGCATTAGAAGTTAAGTTTCCACAGACACCCGACACCTGAGGATGGATCTACCCATCTGTCCTCTAGCTGCATCCCTATGGTGCTATCTGGCACTCTAACACACTACTAGTCTCTTGCTTGTATTCCCCACACACCTGTCTGCGTTCCCCTGGTTCTCCAGAGAAGCATACAGAGACAGGAAGTGCTGTATTAGAATCCTGGGGTGGTCAGAGAAGCCTCTGCCACTATCGGCCCAAGGCACTCAGGACAGGAGGCTCTCTGAGATGACCCATTGAGATGATTCTTAGCTAGAATACAGTCTGAGGCACCTTCTGATCATAGTCAAATTGAAAAGAAAAACCTTTAAGGCAATGTATTCCGAAAGTGCCACTATTTTTAATTTGCCTCAAACATATTTTCCATAAGAATGTTCTTCCAGGCACATTTTAGATAAAGTCAAATCTCCAATCTTCCATATAACCTGAGAATTATATGGGACTTTATGTGTCTTCCAGTTACTGACCAATACATTTTACAATAAATTTAAATTTTAGCAGTGGCAAGCAAGGTGTGCATTAAACCCTTTGGTAAGCAGTGCAGCACAGTGAGAGCCTTCTAAATCAGCTCAGAGCTGAAAGCTTGGCCATCAGTTAGCTCTGGGCTTTGGGCTGGTCATCTGTACAGCTTCCCTCACCTACAAATCAAACTGAAGGACTGCACTGAGCTGCAGGGCAGGCCTGGCATTCTCAAACTTGCTGTCATACCTGAGGAGATGAGGTGGAATCTTTGCTGGAACACATAGGAGACTCTGAGCGGCTAGTGCCAGCATTCTGAGATGGATTTAGTTTTCTGTAAAGGAAACACATTTTCCAGGTAAATGTAAATTAACATTCAGATCCATCATAAACAAAATTCTATTATCTTTTCTAAAAAAGTGATGACATTTTCAAAGTTGTTCTTAAATTTCATCATTTTTTTTACTCTGAAATGAACAGAACAGAAAACTATCCCTGCTTCTCTTTTCCACCTCAACACCAAAATAACACTGAGTAGAGTATTACTTATCTGTACCATTTGTAAAGACAAAGGGAAAAAAGGGACTTACCTAGAGAGCACTGACTCTAATGACCGTCTGTCTGTCTCACTGTAACCTGGCCAGTCTCGCTGGAGCTCCTTAAACACATAGTCCTTTAAGGTATAGGAGAGGTCCTTAGGATTCAGATTGGCCACCTGGAGCACAGTACGCAGACAGAGCATTAGGTATTCCTGTTGGCTATATACATCTTTTTAATGATCCTCCTGGGAATATGTCCAAAGGACCCTACGTCATACCATACCGCAGAAACACTTGTGCATAATGTTCACTGCTACCGTACTCATACTAGAAAGGAAATGAAGTCAGCCTAGCTGTCCACCTTCTATTGAAGAATGGATAACAAAAACGTAGCATGTGGAATTTTATTCAGCTGTGAAGAAAAATGAAATTTGCCGGGCATCAGTGGTGCACGCCTTTAATCCCAGCACTCGGGAGGCACAGGCAGGCGGATCTCTGTGAGTTCAAGGCCAGCCTGGTCGACAGAGCGAGTTTCCAGGACAGCCTCCAAAGCAATACAGAGAAACCCTGTCTTTGGGAAAAAACAAACAAACAAACAAACAAATACAACAAAAAATAAGAAAAATGAAATTTGCAGGAAAACAGATGGAACTGAAAAATATACTATATAGGAAGTGAAGAAAAACTCCTCCTGTCCTTTCTTACATGTCGACTTGAACTTTCGATGTTTGTACATACATAATTGTGTATGTGCTCTCACGCCACTGCATCCACATGAGGACAACTGTGCCGTCAGTGCTCGCAGGGCTGTGTGGGCTCTGAGGACCAGCTCTAAGCCAGGCTTGCAGAGAAGCGCCTCTACCTACTGAGTCACAGCACAAGCTCTTGGTTACTTCCATTTTAGGGTTGCTGAGTCACAGCACAAGCCCTTGGTTACTTCTATTTAAGCAGAAAACATTCAGGCCCTCTCAGCCAGCAGCATGGAGTCTCTACAAATACTACCAATTTTGATAATCTTGCTTTTTATTTCCTTTGTGATAATCAAGTTTATTTCTTTTATTTGCCAACTTTCCTAAGAACTTCTACTCAAGATCCTTGAAATCCTCTTAAACCAATAAGCTAAAGCACAAACTAAAGGATGCTCAGATATCTGTTAGAGGGCTTATTCCCAAGGGAAATCTTTTCCTACCTCTTAACTACAATTCCTAGAGTATCCAGTCAATAATCTACTCACTACACAAATCTATGGGCTTATGACAAACTACAAGTTCTTCAGAATTTTTATTGACAGTTTCACATTTTATGTAATAAATTTTAGTCATTTTAACCCTGCATTCTCCTTTCTCATTCATCTCAAGAAGTCTCCCTCCTACACACCAAAAAGACTGCTGCAGGCTAGGGAAAGGCATTCCTTCCCCTAAGTCTGGGAATAGTCTTTTTCAGTAATTTGGCTTCTTGTTGTGTCTTTTTAAAAGTACTGTCAGATTTAATAGTTTGTCTCATATGATCACTAATTTAATATTATTGTTATCATAAAGCAGCCTCTCAACTTTGCAAATAAATGAACACAAGATGTAAGCAGACTGTTTTGAAGTGGAATATATAGAACAGTGGTTTTCCTTTTCTAGTCTCTGACAACACACGGACTAACACATCCCCACCACATCTACTTCCCTTCCCTCAGGGTCTTTGTTAAATTCCCTATGCTCTCGCCTTTACATGCGCTCAGTTACTGCCTTCTGCCCTATTTTTTCCATTCTCCTTCCTGAGCTCACTCAACTGCAAAATTTACAATGCCCAATCTGTATGTCAGTCCCTAAATGTATGGCTCCAGCCCCAAATGCCCCTGAATACTTACATATTCATCGACTGGATATGTGTAACCAACATTTCCAAGCCCACCACACCCTCACACCTATCCCTTTTCTGCTCAACACCCACTGAGTTGCTCTGGTTAGTACCTACTCACAACCACAGGCCCCTCTCTTTTCTTCATATACGTTAGGAAGGGTTTCTCAAAATGTATCTCTAATCTATGAAAGCAACTCCACCAGACCAAGCTACCAACACATCCCACCTTGGTTTCTGCAGTAGACTTACTAAGAAGTCTTTCTCTTCCATTCTCAAGCCCCAAGCCACTCTTGACACAGAAGTGAGTGGTCTTATTGAAAGCACACGTCACATTACAGTGCATTCTTGCTTACATCCACTGCTGCTTCCCATCCCACTCAACATGATCTCCTTATCCCTGGTCAGCAGTACCTTCTGGGACTTAATCTCCATCCCTTCTACCAGGCTTCCAGAAATGAAGAGTCTTCTTGTCTTTTGTTTTTCATTTCAGTTAAGAAAAAACCATTTAAGAAAGGGGTTCCCTAAATTCCCCTTTATGAGTAGACCTCTTGCTCAGCCCCTCTAACTTGTAGATACACTTCGGAAGGTCAGGGCTTACCATGTGGTGGGGATCATGGGACTCCCACACCTACAATGTTATCTGATATAGTCCAGGCACAGTCACCCTTGTGTTCACATGTAAAATTACGTAGGTTTAAAGTATCTTTCCATATACTATGAATAACCTTAAGATTACTTACAACAGCCAATAAAATATAAATATTATATACAAGATTGTTATATGTTATTGTTTGAGGAATAATGACAAGGAATAAAGTCTATGTATGTTCAGTATAGACACAATTAAAAAGATATGGTCTTCAATTAGCTGAATTCATAGGTGTGGAGCCTGCTGATACAGAGAACCAGCTGTACTAAATGAACCAAATGAATGAGCAATGAATGTGAGTTTGACTCAAATACTCACACGTTAAGATTCAGGTTTATTGTGTTGTTTTGAATTTTTAAAAAAGGATTTCTAGGAAAAGTTCATTCTAAGGAAAAGGAAGCTGTACATTTGTAGACCAACTTAATGGTAAATAGCTTAAACCACATCTAGTACATTATTAAGCATTTTAATGAATAACATTCACAGGGTACTCAAAACAAACTATAATGTAGGTAATAAATCAGCAAAAGTATCTACTGGCATGGGAAAAACAGAACTGATCATTTCAGCTAGCATGCTTGTTACCTAGTTAGTGATAAAATAACCAATTTTTTGACAATCTGCTTATTCTGTTCTTCTACTCCTTTTCATGTTAGTGTTGGTCAGTTTCATGAAACAGAAGTTGTATTAACGGTTAGGAATGTTCAGGATAAAGAATGTGTAGGTAACTGGCTTAAGTCAAAGTTCTTAATATGTGTCTGTTTTCTCCCCTCTGCAGGTGAAATACCTAGCCATACTGTGCCTGGCATGTAGTATGAATGAACCGTGGAAGGTGGTACTGGCCTCTCTATCTGCTTTCCCTAGGCTAGTGGTTTCAGCTCATATTAAACATCACACCCTTCTTTCAGATGCTTCATTGGTTTGTGTGGGATGGAATCTGGCAAAAGTACTTCTTAAAAAGATCCTTGAGATATTCAATATACAGCCAGGATGAAATTACACTCAATAATTCTTCAAAACAACCTGAGACTCACTCTCATATGCAATTGTTCAGGGTCAAGGATACCCATTTTTAGATACAGCTATCTATACTCACAACATCACAGAACTACTGCCCCATTTTTCTTCTATCTTAGGAGATAATTCATACTTTCCATAGATGCATTTACCGTGTATTTTGTGATGTGTGACCTGACTCTCTCTCCCCAACAGAAGACTGAACTAACTAACACTCTGTCACTGTCTCACATACTCATTTCCCCTTCCCCTTTCTCTTTAGTTTTAATAAGGGCTGTGTGACATATAGATTAAAATAAAGATCCCTCCAAATGACTGAGGGACTAGCTAATCCCAACCTGCATATGGCGGCTTTATTCTCTCATGACATTATAGTACTATATTTTGAATGTAAGATACTAATTAATGAAAACAGACTTAAAGCTGTTATTTCTTTAGTATCAGATAAAATATGTAATTTAAGAACAACTTTGAAAATGTCATCACTTTTTTAGAAAAATAATAGACAGAATTCATGGATCTGAATGTTAATTTACATTTATCACTTGAAGTACGTATAAAAATTAAAGGAAATTGCTATCTTCTCACTGTAGCTTGTGATTATAAAGTAACTGCTCATAGTACTCTTGAAATATTCATATCCCTTAATAAAAACAAGTGGCTGATCTTGGCATACACAATAGCCAAAAAATACAAAGTATTAAGGGCTTCAAAGGATATGGAGGTAAGGACACATTCTAAATGATTTACTAGGCAAGAGTATTGTGCCTTATACCAACTGAAGACCAACAGAGGATACCACACAACTTTGTCTATATAAACCAATGAAGCGTAGGTGATAGTGTAGGCGGTTTAAGAAGAAAACAAACAAACTTCTCCAGTTCTTAATGAAAATTTGGGCAAAATTGGGTCATATGAGGACAATGCTTACATTTCAACCAGTTTTTAATAAAATGCGCTAAAAAGACGACTTAAGCTGTGCACAGGGGTGCATACCAGTACTATCAACACTCAGGAGGCTGAGGCAGGGTGATCACCAGAGCTGAGTTCACAGCAAGCCTGAGAAACTTGGCAGTCCTCCATCTTCACAAACAAAAAATAGCTCAAGATGTCCTACCCTAATAATAGTAAAGAGTTATTTTTATATATGAAATTTCTTTATCTCAAAAAAAGTGACGAGATTAGCAAGAGCAGGCAGAGGTTTCAGTTGTTTTAAGACAGAGTTCTAGAGGCGGGAACTCACCCTGCAGTTCAGGGTTCTCCTGAACTTGTGAGATTGTCCCGCCTCCAGCTCTTGAGTGCTGTTACAGACATGTCCTCTTTGTGTTCTTAAGGGAACCTCCCCAGAAGGCGCACACAGATGCCTCTCTCAAGCAGTCCTCACCTGTTGCAGAATTGCTCCCAAAGAGTTCTTGTCCTTTTGATTGACGCCATCTTTCTGCAGGCGGGCAAGCAGCTCAGGTTTCTTGTAGGCTTTTAGCGCCAGTAAGTGGATGACCCTGTCCCTGTATGGCCTCTGAGAGACACTGCTGCCACCATGTGTCTTTCGAATTGTGTTTGCAGGGTTCATGGGGGTTGACCTTTTCCTCTCAGGCACTGCATCTGAGATGGCTTGAGGCGCTTTCCGAATTTGCACTCTTTTCCCTAAAGTCCAGTGGAATAGACACTGTTACAAATCTGTGCATTATATACAACATAACGTGCATTTTAGTTTCCACAACCCAATTTAGATATACTTTTTATTTCTAGAAGAAATAAAGGTCATTTTATTTAAATTTTTACTTTAAAGAAATATAACTAAGTATTTTAACGAAGTTGCTTATAACATGGAGTAGGAATTTTAATAGGATTATTCCTTAAAATAATTACATATTATAGATGTACTTTTGTCATTTAACTACACATAGTGATACAAACAACAGAACAGAACATTTTAGATTGTTGACTATTTGAGACAGGTACAAGTAAAGTAATTTCAATGCTTTCCTGTGTCACTTTACAGTACTTAAATCCATGTATAATACATCACTTATAAAAAAAAGTGAGTAGAAACAGGAACTCATATACAAAGGTGACATCACCTCACAATAACATAACAATAACATGTATCAGACTTCATAAGAAAACATAGCTGACTAACCCAGAGCAGAACTGTCATAAATCTATAGACACACACATCTCAAGGAGTAGAGACCAACTACTTGGCAACCACTGGAGATGGTCCTTTTTATTAGCAATAACACAAGTAAAATCAAAGCAACCAACCCACTAAACACACTCTCAGAAAACAAGACAAATAGATCTGTCTTCATAAACTACACAGACAGGTCAGGTAGAGGCATGGAAAATGATACAAGAAGACACACCACTCCCTCCGTGTCAGTAACACCCTCTGCTTAGGCAGCAGACTGACAATCGACCAAATGGCAACTTCTAGTAAATTTGTGTTGGGAGTGACCTGAGTATTCTCTCTGTTCAAATCCATCCAGATAGAGCATCTTGTCCCATAGCCTTTAGTGACTGTTCTTTGGTAAGGGACAGAAAGCAGTATACAACCTCTTTTTATAGTTTCTGAAGTAGAATCTCTTAACTTATTTACTAAGCATTATGTCCAACTCTGTTCCCTCTGGTTAAGGACGGGGAGAACTGGGAATGATGCACCGAACGGGGTAACTGCACTAGGAGTAAGACTAGATTCATGACGTGGGACTAGAGAATTCTGCTTACTAATGTTTCTGTTCATGCTGGGCCAGACAAAACTTAGTTATCATTCTACCTCATTTCTGGGAAACTTCTGTCAGCTGGTATACTTCTTTGCAATTTAGACATGGTGACGGCAAGTATCAAATTAAATTACTGTACAGAGAAGGAACACAACACTAGGGAATATTGTCTCATGATAAGAAAAACTAGTTATGTAAAGTTTTAAGAGAGACTTAAAGCTGTTTTCTACATTTTTTTTAACTTAGAAAAAGCTGGATCTGATGGGAAAGGACTACTATTTATCATGCACCAATTACGGTGTAGTGAAGGGAAGACTATGTATGCTAAGGGTTTCATGCAAGTGATTTCTTCAAGGTGAGCCTTATCTCCATTTCAGTTGAGAAATCTGGGGTTTTCAGTGGGAGATGCTCAAAATAGTAAAGTGCTTATTCAGCATAATGGGAAGGCCTGTGGTTACACCCAAATCTCATCACTTGTACCTCTTCGTGGGAAAGGTTTTATGAACAAATGCCTAATGCTTTCCTGTTGTTTCATGTTGGGCTGTAAGCTCTGTGAGGGCAAGGCTATGGCTGCTTTCCACCACCAGAATGAGTCAGTACTAATGACTGCAGATGACAGGAAGACAGCAAGCAGAGAGGCAGGAGTCAACACATCTGTACTTTCCCACATTGCCAGACTGCCAGTCTAAAGACACACAGAAATCTATAATGCAAATCCTTTAGCCTATCATTTCTCAACTGTTACGGTACTAATGTCATGTTCTTTGATCATGCAATAGAAATTTCTGGAGAAAAAAATAGGGTCAATGTCATGATAATACAGGAAATATTCTAAATTCCACACTTCTTTTCTGTTTGCCAATTCCTGCAGATAAGAACCTGCTTAACTCCCTTCCCGACCAAGCTGTCACTCACAAGCCACTCAGCTGTCACTCTGTTTCTATCTGAATTACCTCAGGTCCTTGCTCTCAAAATGGTTCCCAGAGGTTGCTGGGTTTCCTCTCACCCTCCCCGAAGCACAAGGAAAACAAAGGAGGCTAACTTTGCCCCGAAGAGGGAAAGGAGTATGATGCTGGATAGAAAAATGGATTCTGATGAGGGAGAGGGCTGCATCTTTACTGAGACCTAGTGCTGGACTCTCTGACAACTGCTCCCAATACATCAACACCACAGTCGTCTGGTCATTGGGTGACCATTCCTTCCAAAGATTGAAAGAACAACTCAATAACACCGGTACTGAATTACATTTAAACATCACTTGCTTCTGTCTATCCAAACCGTTTGTGACTATTCAATTTGAAGAGACACCAAGACTAAGGAAAGAGATATTCTAGATGAAGAAAACCTAGTGATATAAATATTTATAGAGTTGTGATGCTAAAGAAAAAGAAAGGAAAGATGTTAGGATCAAAGGAGGCAGGACAGCATATTTTATTTTTAATATTTGCCCTTTTTAATAAAGCCTGTGGGAAAACCTAATTCTCTTTCCAGACCCAACTGCTAATCAATTCCCCAGGCTTTTTCATATACAACAGCAGTGGTACCAACAGAGTTGGCTAATCTGGGACTAAATCTGAGTCACTGTTATATTTATGAGTCCATCTCTAGTTCCTCCATTTAATTCTAGATGGTAAAATTACTTATCCTTCAGCCAATGGCTCTGAGTCAACAATGTGAAAAGAAAATGTTAACACAGGCCATCAGAAAGAAAGTAGCAACTATAACCATTTTCTATAGTTGTTTTTCTGCTTGATGGAAACTGGCTAGCACTGTGAGCAACAGAGACTCAAGGTTGCAGATAGCATATGCAGGGTAGGAAGGATGACTTGGACTCTGGTTAAATATATAATCTATACAAAAGTCTCTGCTGGTATCATCTGGTACCTGTGGTACTTTACAAAATTTCAGTATGCACACACACACACACACACACACACACACACACACACACACACACACACACACACACGTCAGAACTACAATGGATCTTATAAGTTCTCTAGTTCTTATAAGATAAGATACTCCTTATCTAGTACCTGAGAACCTTAGGTAGTCAGTGGCTAGTTCCATCACTCAGATAAATGCTAACTCATTAAAAAATAAGGAGGGCGGAAAAACTGGGAATAGAGTCATAGATATTAGATATGCTGGGTTATTTTATACAGCTGCGTAAATATCTATCTATGCAAAGATTTGTAGGTCAATGAGATTCCAGAATTTAGGTCAGAGTCAAGAAGTGGACTGAGCACACTAGGGAACAAGAGGAGGGGATTAGTGACCTCTCTTTATGAAGACAGATACAGTGTTCACCACTGACTACCATCAAGAGCAGAGGTAGAAGTATTTCTAACAAGCTGTCATCATGTTGTTTAAGTAAGACATCCCCGGCTCCTCTCCAGTCAAGCAGGGTTTGCTCTGTCCTCACAGGAGAGCTTCAGAAGCACACAGCCCAGGAAACTAGGCCAGGTGACCCCAAGGCTCCTAGCAGTGCAGACTTCCTCCCTTAAGCTTGGCTTGTGGCCCTAGCTCAGCTGGCAGAGGTCCAGCCTGGCACTGTGCCACACCACACCACAGCACAACAGGACCAGCATGACTCTCAGTTGCCTCCACCCAGGCTCACACCACTGAAAGGAACCTTGTTCTGCAGGTACCTAGGCTGGCATAGGTGAGCATCTGGTGTCATTTTACATGGCACAGTCAGTTATAAGCTAAGTGGGTAACTCCTGCTGTTTAAGAACAAGAATTCAATTTGTTCATGAGGACATGCCTTTATCATCATTATTTATTTATTTCTGAGCCCAATAATTTGATACATAAAATGGACAGATAGTCATAACCTATTTCATAGAGTAGTCAAGAGATTTAGATGAGGAACTACATACAAAGTACTATATAACTTATAATGAGCACCTAATATAAGTACTGGGTAATTTTAGTTGTACAGGCTGATTGACTAACATTTTAAAGAACTGAATGAGCCAGGCATTATAAAAAAAGTAGGAAAATACAAGTTGAGCTCCCCAGCAGGAAAGGATCAAGTTTTAAAGAACAGATGATAAAGAGCTCAAATGCAGCATATCCAAGTAGAGTAAAACTTAAAGTAAACAACAGAAAGTCCAATGGGAGCCTAGGGCCTTCAGAGTTGATGGGACTTTGACTAACAATACTATTTGGTTCTGAAATCTTGAGGTGAGGAACTGAAGGCAGTCCAGATATTATAATACAAATAACTAAAAGGTTGTGACACAGGCCATATTAAGGAAAGTTAAAAGGAGCGTGGGTTTTGTGACCCAGAGAAACTGTCTGAGAATGTTAGTGACAAGATTTAAGTTCAGAGAAGAGCATGGCATAGTGACAGTTGAGTGATCAAGGAACTGAGGATAAAACTGGGAGGAAAAGAATAAAGAAGACACACAGATTGGCAGAGAAAACTACCGAGCTTTGAGGATAGCATCTTGTTCAGATTTAAACTTTGATAAGTTTAGGTTTGATAAGATAGGTTATCCCTAAAGTATATATAAATTATAATCCCTATAAGAAAACTAGCAAGCTCTAAAATTCCTGTTATCATCAGAAAGTGCACTATTGGAGGGATTCTAAATGTTGACATGTTTGTCATATTAACTGGATATGGGGGCTCAGATCTGTAATCCTAGCTCTCGAGGCTGAGGCTGGAGGTTTGCAAACTTGAAGCCAGCCTGTTTGATACAGAGAGGTTCAGACTCTGGACTATGGAGTGAGATTCCAAAAGCAGGCAAACCAGCCAGCCATCCATCCATCCATCCATCCATCCATCCATCCATCCATCCATCCATCCATCCACCTTATAAGCGAGCTTTATAAACTTAAGTGAACTGATTTAGCTCCCACATTACTGAAAAAAAATTCTTCATGAACACAGGAGACATTTAAGTACAAGTTTCAGGAAAGATACAGTCTTTGCTGATTTTCAAACTTTAGAATAAACTTAGGTAAGAGTTCCCAGCTAATTATATTAGGGGAAAAATAATTTTGATGATTTGCATCCCTCTAGTAACTACTTTATTGTTTATGAAATGATGGTATTATATTAAAACAACACTTTAAAAATTAGTGACAGGCTGGGTGGTGGTGGCTCACATCTTTAATCCATCACTCGGGAGGCAGAGGCAGATGGATCTCTGTGAGTTCTAGATCAGCCTGGTCTACAAGAAGTAGTTCCAGGACAGCCTCCAAGGCCACAGAGAAATCCTGTCTTGAAAACAAACAAAAAGAAAAAACCAAAAAAGAAAAAAAAATTAGTGACAGATAATTCACATTTAAAGTTAAAATGCTAAGTGGAGGAAGATCTTATAGATTTAACATCTTAGTCTATTAGTGCAGACAACCAATTAAGTTATTTAATAAGGAGAAAGGAGAAGAAAGAAGGCTGAGAATTGTCCCTTTACTCCACAAAAGGGAAGATGAGAAATCTCATTGTTGGTAACTTACTAGTCGGGTACCGGGTCCTATGGGTATAGATGCCTGGGGAAGCCAGGAATTGTTGTTAAACCAAACTAAGTGTATCTAAGCTGAGCACCAAGTCCCAGGAGCATTGGCTTTGTTCCAAAGACACTTATTAAAGGCCCTGGTGGAGCCTCTCAAAGTTGAATATGACATAGCTGGATCAATGACACAAACCACAACAAAGCTACATCAAACCTGGAGAGGTGTTGGCTAAGGCATTTGGGTCTATAAGAAACTGGTTTTGGAAACATTTACATTTCAAAATTACTACGTGTTCATCATTTACACTATGGTGATTTGAGTTAGAAAACTGAACAGTTCATCTTCACTCTACCATTCTGTCCTTGTTAATCACTGTGAACTGACTTATTAAGCTGTTCAGGACATTGCTCACAAAAGAAACATCACTTGCTGATCTGGTCTTATATCTGATGCATATTGGAGTGAGTTGATGAAAAGACAGTGGTGGTGAGGTAGAGTCTTAGTTAGTGGGTAGTGATGACCACAGTCCTCCTGCTGCTGCTGTGATACTCTGCCATAGAACATTTTATACTTTTACAATAAAAATTCAACATTGTATAATAATCCTCTGAAAACCCAAGCAAAATCTGTAACAACAGGGTTATCAATTTAACTTTGTCCAATAAAATTTTGCTATAAAATAGCTCTATAAAAGTATAAACAGGAAGCACACTGTCATTGAACTTACATCATCCAATGACAAAGAAAAGGAAAAGACCACAGTTACAACCTCATGTAGTATCATGACCAGACCCCAGTATAGTGAAATAATAAGTAGCCAACAGAAGGTTCAAGAATTATAAAAGTCACAAACGTTTTCCAATTTACCAGCAGCCTGAAAAGAAAAAAAAATCAATGTCTATGTTTTCATTCTTAGTATTTACCAGTATTTACCTACAGCCATCTTGAGTTAGTCCATCAACCAGTATGAAGGAGAAACATGTCCATACAAACCTACATATGGTCCACCGGGTTTGATAACTTTGGTGCTTCGATTACGGGATTCCTCCTCTGCCTGGGTCATTCTTTCCCGTGTCATCTGATAGGAGTCATTTGTTGCACACACTGTAATTTTATCTTGTATAAATCCCAGGCAATTGAGCTGGGAGGCCCCGGAGCTGTCAAGTGAGAGAGTGGCTGTGTTAGAGATGACTATCATTTTCACAATAAAGGCAACCAAGAATTTTATTATCCTAAAATCAGTAGCTTAAATAAGTTAGCAATCCTAAAATAGCTGTTACTAATTTTAAAATAGGACTATTTAAAATATTTATTTCATTCATTTACTTATTTACATTGTTAACAGAATAGGTAAAATGAGCCCTGGATATCAAATCAAGCTTTAAAAATAGTGTAGTTCTACTTTCACTTAACAGTCAACTGTTTTTAAAGTTTCTTGCCACAGACAAGAGACACACTTAAAACCTTACTTTTAAAAGATAAAACACAATGTACATGCTTTAGAAAGGACAATGTAAGATGTTGTCCAATATTCTTTGTTTTTCCAGTAACGTATTAATAGTAGAGCTAAGATTTGTAGAATCTGTATTTACCATTTTCTTAAATCTCTATATAGCAAATACTGAAAAATTTGGGGTAGGTGTTTCTTGCTGAAACATAAAAAAATAAAAAATAAAACAAAACACCAAAGCATCTGGATTCAACACTGACTCTGAAATGGCCTTGCTTTAAAGTAACAGGGAGCAGCTAGAATAGCTTTGCAATCCTAAAATCATCAATATTGATTTTTAAAATATAGTCATTATTTAAGATGTTTATATTCTTATTTTTTAGAGATCATGGTAAAACCACAACTAAATTAAAAAAATACTATATAGCCTTAAAACAAAAAAAAATACATAATGAGACTTGGTATTCCTGATCCTCTGCTTCCAAACTGAATTAGAAATAGCTTGGTTATGACACTAAAAAGTTGATTAAAATTTTGTAATTTTCTTAATAATTTTCTTTACAAATGCTGTTCTTAAAAAAGTTAATTCATCTGATAAATATTGGGCAGAACAAAACCCAGGATAAGGATAAGGTAGAAGAGGTCCTTCCTTCAGGGAGGGACTTCTCTAATGGGTAACAAAGATGGGCAAAGTGGACAAATGGCAAGGAACAGGAAGTATCTGGAAAGGACACTTTGCTTGGCCTTTATAGAGGAAGTGATATCTGAGCAGATCATAATGTCAACTAACCAAGAAGGAAAATGGATAAAAATGCCCCAGAGAGATAATCAACTTGTGCAGGTCCAGAGTGAACACGATGTTCAGTTCAGTCAAAGACAGCCAGAAAGGGCAATTAGATATGAAGTTGAAGATAGAACAAAAAGTGTGTCATGCAGGGCTTGGATTTGGAAGAGAATAAGAGGCTGAAAACAGAGAAATAACTCATCTGTGTTGTAGGAAAATCAGTATAGATGGAGAATAGACAAGGAAGAAGGGGAATGCAAGAATGAACAATAGGAGACCAGTTAGGTCTACTAAAGGATTCGACACAGGGAAGTAGTCTTTCCATGAGAGCATGTTTCAGAGATGTGGAGGAGGCAGGATTAATGGGATTTGAACAGTGATTAGACCTGGGAGGGAGGACGAGAGAGAAAGGCAAAATCAAGACAGTGTCCCAGTTACTAGCCATATGGACCCACCTACTGAATTAAAAAAGGGTAGGGTAAGGGATAGAGTTGAAGACTTTGAAGGAACAAGAAGAGTCTTATGAGGACAGTTACTAACACAAACAGGAAGAAAAGAATGACACTGAAGACATGCAGTGAAAGATGCAGGAAGTATTATGCCTATGGAAGCCACTACAAGAATGTTTCACAAAGCAGAGGGTGGTGTGGTGCATAGTGGCCAAAGCTGAGAACTATAAAGCATCTACACATATGCACTTGGCTTCAGGGACAAGGAAAGGCACTGCCCATTAGGAGGAGCAGTTACAGTGAAATGGTGGAGGCAGAGATCAGACTGTGTAGAGAAATGTAGGAAAGTTTTGTTTCTTGTTTACTTTTTTTTTTAAATAAGGGGGGCTTGAGATCTTTGAATACTGATAAATCAATCAAAAAGGACCAGGAAAAAGGTTTAACTCCCCAGAAGAGAGAAAAAAATAGACTTAATAAAGTGAAGGGCTGGTGTCAGGGATTCTGAGTTTTAGCTTCTCTCTCTAATTCTTACTAAGGAACACACACGGTGAGAATAAGCTGAACTCATGTCAGTCATGATGAACTGTAGATCTTAAGTTGTGCTCTGCTGTGGAGGTTGGAAGCTTCTCTCATAGAATTCTTTACTTGTGCCTTTCAGCTTCCTTACCGGGAAGATTTCAGCTTGCCTGTACAATTGTTCCCTCTGTGTCTCTGTGGCCTGGATCACTGTTTCCCACACTTGAGTGAGCATCACTATCAATAAGCTTGTGCATAAGTATATTTAAGAATCTTTGCAAGGTAATTTTGACTTGAGATTTCCTCCATTTTATATGTGAGAAAAGTTTTGAAGGTATAGAGAAGATATCAAAGGAGACCAGTTAATATTTGCCAAATATCCAGTTCTTGAGCTTCTATATAGAACCCAGCCTATGCTGAGAAAGCCTGGACCTTTGAAGACATGGTAGTACACTACTCTAAGAGTCATGACTAGAAAGGATGGAGACAGTTAACAGGAAACTTACCTATCAGAATGAGAATTAAGTTTTTTCCTTTCTTTCTTTCTCTCTCTCTGTCTCTCTTTTCTCTCTCTCTCTCCTCTCCCTCTCTCTCCCTCTCTCTCTGTGAGACAGCGTTTCTCTATATAGCCCCAGGTGCCCTGGAACTCAAAGAGTTCCTGCTTCCAAGTGATGGGGATTAAAGGTGTGAGCCACCATACCCAGTTAGAACTAAAAGTTTTTAGTGCTTTTGTTTTCTGCCAGAAAGTCACTAATGTATTTGTCTGAAATTTCTCACAATTTTTTCTGTTTCTCTTGCTATATCATGGACAGTTTTGCATATAACTAACCTTAAGGTTTTCTTTAAGTACAATACAAATAATACACAGTATATATATTAAGGATAAAACAATATTACTTATTTAAATATGCTTTGCACTAAATTTTTTATTGTGTGTATATGTGTGCACATGTGGGTGTATGTGTGCCACAGTGTGTGTGTGTAAGTCAGAGAAGAACTTGCGGAAGCTAGTTCTCTCCTTCCACCGGAAGGGTCCTAGAGATGAAGCTCAGGCTGTCAGGTTTGCTGACAGCACTCTCACTCAACGATCCAAACATCCATTACTTTTATGGTATAACATGAGAATATGATGTGATATGGTTGTGAAGGAAGAACAAATTTTTCATATGATTCCTCAGAGGATAGAGTTCCATTTAAGTCCTTCAGTACAACCCAGGGTACTTTATAAGCTGAAATTTAATGTCTTGAAAACAAAAGTATATGATCGTCTAATCACCATTAGCAGACATCGGTGTGCCTCTGTTGCATAAGGAACCCTGGACTAGATGTTTGCAGGACTCACTTCTCTTTTTGCCCAGCCACAAGCTAAGATATTACATAACTATGGGTAGGTCACTGTTAAATGAAGACCAAAGAGTTCGTGATTCTACAGTCTATTGCAGTGCTATTCAGGAACTTCCTGCAATGATAGAAATATCCTGTATCTGTGATGTAACCACATTTGAGTTTTGAGACTGGAAAATGTCAGTGTAAGTAAATAATAAAATTTTAAGTTTTATGTAATTTTGAACAACTGACTATCACAACCACATGTAGTCAGCAGATATGGAAGTGAATGGAACATAAAAGGCTATATAATCTATAAGGTATGCAGTTCATACCAGAGTTGTAGTGGTTGTTTTAAAGCGATGCCAATACAGACTCAGGCAGTTTAAGCCACATGGGAAGAGCAACTTGGAACTTTCATGAAGGTGTCTTTGTTTCCCGTTTTAGTTTTGCTTCTCACATCGGTTCTTACAGATTCACATACTATGCAGATGAGCTAACACATGGACTGGTGCTAGTATTGTGCTCCAGTGTCAAAGCCTTACGCTGGGGACTGATACTCACAACCTGCCGTCTTCATTGGGGCAGAATACAAACTCCAGCTCAGGGGTTCCCACTTTACCACAAACAAGCACAACAAAGCAAGCAAATAGGCTCATAGTTTTCTGAGTCAAAGTAGGTAAGGGAATCATGCACAGGGGAGGTGTCTAGTCTTTTACCCTTTAATTTTTTTCTTACATTTTTGTTGGAATTAATGTCTAGTATCCAGCAAGCTGTGCAATAAAACTAAAAGAAGTCCCACCTAAGGTAAGACTTGATAGAGCAGAGGCATGCAGGGTACATATTTTTTCTCCTTATCTTTATAGAAAGCCTTGGGTATAATATAAGACACCCTTATTTAAACACAATGAGCATTTTACAAAAAAAATCTTCAAAACTGATTTTTTTTAATGATCTAGTAACTTTATTTTTTTTATCATTTTTTATTTTAATTTTAAATAGCTTGTTTTACATGCCAATCCCAGTTCCCTCTCCCTCCCCTCCTCCCACACTCCCCTTCCCCCCCTCCCTCCCACCCTATTGCCAAATCCTTCCACATAGGGGATATCTAGAGTCTGTCATTTTACTCTTGGTAGGGTCCAGGCACAAAACTGATTTTAAGAACTAATTTTTATAGTATTTTTGAATTCTGCAACTTTTGTGACTACACTCCAGTGATACGAACGATTTCTAGTATATGATAGGTTAATACGTTTAGATAAATGAGCTGTGTAATTAAACTCAATAAGCATTGAGGGACTAGTTAATGAGTGCTTTGTTAATTAAAAGCAAGCACTCTGAACTGGGAAACCCCCCTTCAGCTCATCCTGGGCAGTACTCACCTGGAGAGTGTTTGCTGGATGCAGTCAAAGCTGCCCTGAGGGTTATCTTTCCCCACGTTTGACAGGTAGAAGTTAAAGTTGTGGACTTCACTGAGGGGATCATTTTTGGGAATTTTGACAAGCTAAAAGATGGGAAAGAGAGAAATACTTCAGTGCTTATGAAGTTCTGCCTCGCTGGTTATCCAAGTGAATCATCCATTTTCATAGCGTTTAATGACCAAATAGTTCAAGCAACCTGACAAACATGCCCATAACTCATCACAACCTTGCTTCATTTCTATCCTTAAGTGTGGGCAATCACTCCTGTTCAGATATGAGCCCCACTGAACAGCTTCTAGATGATATAATAATCTCTGAGGTATACTCCACAGTCCAACCTTTTGCTGTCTCATATCTTTATTTCTTACTTTCTTGACCAGTACTTTTGAAGAATTATAACTATCAACACAAGGCAAAAGTGCAGCTTGGGGCGTGTCTTGATGCCTCATGATTCCTACATTCAATCTCATTGTTATGCAACAGAGTCAATAGCCCATAGAAAACATACATACTGCAAGTCCTGCCTGAGCTGAGCCCTGGGCAACACTTTGAAATGTGCACACATGCTTTTCTTTCTATTCACTTTTGAGACAGGGCCTCACATAGCCAGGCTGGTCTTCAACTCATGTAAGTTGAGGCAGGCCTTGAACTCTTCATCTTCCTGCTTCTAGCCTCCCAGGTGTTAGAGTTCTAGACATCTGGCCAGGTGATTTTTCTGAGGCCTTGCTGAAGTTCTTGCTATCCGAGAACAGAATGCCTACGAGCAAGGATTCCTTTTGACGCCCAGGGTCTGAATCAGACAAACTTCCTGTGTATAGCAGGAGCTCAGTAAACTTACGTCAAGGAATTAGCATCTTCTGTCAATTGCTCCTACTTTCTCAGTACCTGAAGCTTTTCATCTCTTTGGTTTACAGGGGCTGCCACTGTGTTAAGTAATAGTTACAAAAAAAAAAAAAGGATATGTAGGTATGTGAAACAGAAACCAATACTCTAGGCTCGAAACACACTGGATTTTAGTAACAGCAGATAAGAAGGGACATCATGTTTTGCAATACCCTTCTGTTCAAAACTAAGTCCTCTCTGTTGCTGAAAGAGCACAAAGCAGAGTTAACTACACACATGGCACAGTCACAGATGTGCTAGTGAATGCCTGTGTGATCCCTGTCTGTGCAGCGGACACCCCCGACTCAAACCATGTAGCAAAGCTCAAGCTAAGGTGGTCTTGTAGCCACCACCTCCAACTCCCAGAAGAAGGAAGGAAAGCTAAAAATACACTAATGTTTGCTGTGTGACAATGTTAGCCATGTAATAAATAACCGCTCAAGGAATGAGAACACGAAGAAAAAAGTCATGGGGAAGCATGTCTAAGTATGTGCAAAAGATTTGTGTAGGTAGAACTAGAAAGATTGTTGAGCATCAGATAATCTTACAGCATCTATTATCCATCAGTTTCAGTGATCTTTGACTTTTTATTTTGAATTAGTTCCAATTCCTGAAGAACTAAGTGTCCACTTACTATTACTCTAGAAATAACTCGGGATGGGGGTGGGGGTAGGGAGGGGAGGCACTCCAGTTACTCCCTATTTTCCTTATATTTCTACCAGTTCTAAAATGCATTACCTTTGTGAACCCGTCTCACGTTATTATTTTTGTAGGTACTTATCAAGCTTATTTAGCAGGTGTACAAATGTCATCCCTACTTGGTATTCACACATTTCAATCCTTTATTTCTGGGGAATGCAAGAGCTAAAATAATGCTATTACTGAACACAGGAGTACATAAATCTCACCTCTGTGCTAGTTTGTTTATCTCTTCCCTGAGAGGAACACCACAGCCTAATGCCTCCCTAAGGCCTGGGAGAGGAAGTGAGAAGGTTCCAAAGGTACGGACCTCTGCATGAAATCCTCCTCAACCATTACTCTTAACTTATATCCACTGTCAATCCTAATCCTTCATTTCAGTTTGCAGAACCTGATTGTTGGGGAAATCTCCATAGTGGCTGAGGTCTCATCATGTTACGCTGTTGCCTAAAGTTTTGCTTTTGTGTACCTCAGACTTGGAAAAACAGCACCACTTTTCTGTTATGCGTACACAAGACTTGTCCTACTCTTTAGATTTTAGCCTACATTTTAAACACTAGAATCATAAAAAGTGAATGGAATAGTCTCAAATTCTACAAATGTATATTACTCTCTCACCAAAAGGTTTTAGCTTACATCTTTAGTTCAGACATCTAATAAACAGAGCTTCACAGAAGAGCTCTATGTCTTTTAAAAACCATTAATTAACTTTTGCATATGTATGTGTGGTGTGCGTGTGCATGCCTGCATGCAGGCCCGAGGTTAATGCTGGTGGCTTCTCTGACTGCTCCCCACTTTAGATACTGAGGAACAGCCTATAACTGAACTTGATGTTGGCTACTTCAGCCAGTTGTCTTTGGGAATTCCGTTTTCATATCCCACGTGCTGCGATTACAGGTGGGTAGCCAAGTCCACCCAGCTTGTGATGTAAGTTTTGGGTATCCAAACTCATGTCCTCATGCTTTTCTGGCAAGTACTTTACCCAGTGAGCCAAATACCCTGCAGTCTTTTATGCTAAGTATATTTTCCTTCCTTATCTTCCAAATTTCTTAAGCAACACTTGGAGTCTTAAAGATGAGAATTATCTTCTTAAACACCTACTTTAATTTTAAGATGCATGCATGTAATTAGGCTATTATCTCAAATTGGGGAATTACAAAAATATTCTGCATAAAGTAATCACTGTGTACACTACTCAACATGTTCAGGTCTGGCCTAGGCAGATACAGGAGACTTTTAAATTCTCATTTTTGGGAAAACTATGCTTATTTGAAAAATATGATCATGACAAGAATAGGAGAGAATCACAATGAAAAATATGTTTGTACAGCTGGCTCAATGCCTTCAATGAAGGATTTGAAATTTATTACACACAGGTTCAAATGGAACAAGGGGTGATTTGGCCACCCCCCTAAAAGGTCTGGGAAGATATTTCTGGCACCTAGTGGGAAGTCAGAGATACTGATGAAAGGCCTACAGTGAAAGGGAGAGAGAAGACAGCATCTCAAGGCAGTCTCAGTGAGTCTGAGGAGCAGTGCAGACCAGAGATGCAGAGCCCTTTTACTCTGACCACTGGTAGAGGTGACAACTTTATAGTGACTTGGCTGCTTTGTTTCTCTGATCTTCAGTTTTAACCCTAATATCTGTCTCTGAGTTTTTATTCTTACAAACAATTAGAATTCATGCTACATCTGGCACCCAACTTTTGGGGTGCAAATTCATAAAAAGGCCGCTTGCCTGTGGCTTTGCAGCCATGGGCACAGGCCAGAGCTGAGTGTGGGGCTTGTGCTAGAGTCCCTGCCAGCCAGCTAGGTTTTCTTATATTTTTTTCCTCGAGCCTCTGAGAGAGTTTGGGATTTTCCTGTTGTAACATCTCTTAAAAAAAGTCTCCAGCTGCCACCCAAACTCCAGAAGAACCTGGGCTCACTTTGGTAAGACAATTGGGAATTCTTGAAGGAATCAATTAAAAGAAAGCTTTTCTCCACATTAAAAAATAGGAAACACTTATTACAATGGAGAGAGTTAGGTCTCTGTATGATTACACAATAGATGGTTTAAAACTGGCACAATTAAATGAAGGGATAATCAACTGGGACTGACATACTGTTAATTATCATTTTGATAATCTTTGTTGTTGGTTTGATAATTCTTGGATTATCTCTAAAAAAGTTGATTGATATGAGTGCCAAGATACAGGCCTTTGAAAAACTTATTAAAGCAGATCATAGAGATATTCAAACCCAGAGTGAGGAACTGAAAAGAGAACCAATTTCAGCATTGCATTGTAAGGTTAGAGGGGAACAGCCTAAGGTTTTCAAACAACTAATCTTAATATATCTAGTAACCTTACAGGAATTGCCAAATGACAAAGGCTCTGTAAGAGCTAATTGGACTCCTGTGTCAACATTAGATTTATGGGGATTCAAGTCTCATATGGCATGCATTCACTATTTGTGAAGCAGATGCTAAACTTGTGGTTTGTAATAGAATTATTCCTAAAGACTGGACAGACTTGGTTAATGCTGTCTTAGAGCCTGGGCCACAATTACAATGGAATATCTGATTCAGAGAAGAGGCTAAGAGTAAAGCTAGATGTATGTCAATTTCCCAAAATCAACTTCTTGGAGAAGGAGATTATGCTACTCTACAAAGGCAATCTCTACATATGATGACCAAACCCTGGTTTTATGGTGTGCAGCAGCTTTGAATGCTTGGGACAGAATTGCAGAAGTAAGAAAAAAAATTGAATCATTTACTAAAGTTATACAGGGTCCAAAGGAAGCCTTCACAGATTTCTTACAAAGATTGACATCAGCAGTAAATAGAATGACACTAAATTCAGAAGCTTGACAAATAAAAATTGAATCTCTGATTTTTGAAAATGCTAATTCTCAATGCAAAAGGATAATTAGGCTGCTAAGGGCAAGGCCAGTACCTTTGGAGGAATGGATCCGAGAAACAATCAATATTGAATCTCATGACCATGATGATGGATAGGAGAGGTGATTTCTAGAGGTTTGAAGAAAAATCGAAATGTCAAGTGTTCCATTTGTGTCAAACAAGGTCACCTTAAAAGCAAATGTAAAAAAGGTCTCCTAGAAACAATGGCTTTTTATAAGCATAATCCAAAAAGAAAACCCCTCCCTTTTGGATTATGCAGAAGGTGTATGGACTAATGAATGTAGATCAGAAAGGGACAGTCAAGGTAACCTTTTCTGTTGGGAAACTCCTTGAGGGGCCTCTTGCAGTTACCTATGCCAAATTCAGTTCAGTCATTTCCTGTCAATGGAGAGGAAACTCCTTCCCAGAGCAATTAAATACAATAAACACTTATTGTAAAAAAACAAAAGAAAAACAAACAAAAACCAATACTGCTCTGAATGATAGAGGAGCTTTAGAAGATAAAACAAAAATTTCAGGAGAAATCAAAACTCAAAATTGATAAAGATTAGATTAGGAACCTCCCCAAAGTTATGGTTGGGCAGGGTTTTGTTTTTGCCTA